TTGAAATTTTTGTCGGTTGCGTGATAATTCTGCACACTTACATACTACATAACAAGTTTACTGAAATTAGTCAACTTATATTTCACTGAAGGACTAATATTATGCAGATCTAGTCTGAATGATTAAGAACTAGCAGCGTTACAGCACCATGTTAGTTGTGGCTGGTTGTGCCAAATGTCAAGATTGTATAATGTCCTATTGTACCAAAGGTTTGCTCAGTGATTTCAGTATTTGTATCGTATATTATTTAAATTTTTCCCTGTTCTTGTTTGAAGATAAATATGTACGTTCCCTGTGATTGGATTTTGGAATGTTTTAAACACTTGTGTGTATAAACTCATTCTTTGTCTAGTAATAAATTTTATGTAATATTGTGTTAATTTAATGTGTGCAGCTTAATATGAACAGAAATGTAAAGAGTGCATTTTAAATATTTTCCCCTTCCTATCTAATATACATAAAAAAATTATGAGATGTATGCATAGTATAAAAATCTGACACATTTGCTTTCTTTTGTTTGTCTTGAAATCTGCAAGACCTATAACAGAAATGTACTGGGCATAAAATGTGTCTTCAGTTTTTTGTGCAACTTCTGTTTCCAACATTTTCTGCTCTGTTAGATGTTCAAGATGAATGTAAATATGCATATAAGTTTTCGTGTAATGTTCCTATATTGATGTCCAGTACATTCCGGTAACAAATTACATGAAAATCAGTTGAGTACTCGAGATTCATCCGTACAGCTGGATGGATATTCAGCTGTTCAGCAGGGATGGAAACATGTCTAAAAATGTAACTTTTCTGTTTCATATCATAGACCTAATTTCACATGTAGCAGCCACACCTGTTAAAGCAATATGGAGTTACTGGGATAGAGTTTTTGGATGTAGAATCGTTTTCAATTGTGTGAGTACACTTTCTTAATTTTAGGGTTATCTCTCGTTGAAAATTTTAGCTGTTCATTTCAAAATTCATTTGTCTTGCTGCCCCCTTACACACCATATTGTTTTGCAGACACAAGCCAGCATTTTGGAGGAACCTGCTGTTTCCATCTTGGGTATACATGCTTAGGGTGGGGAACTGATTGTTTTATGTATATACTACTGTGTCCAAAAAGTATTCAACCTTGGGCCGGGAAAAAGAAAGTTCTGTATCTGGGTGGTTACAATGCCTAATCGCCTTCAAAGTAGGCCTCTTGTGATTCCACACACTTAGCCCAGCAGTCCTTCCATCGCTGGAAGCAATTCTGGAAGGCTTTATTTGGAATGACGTGCAGCTGCGCCGTCGCGTTCTGTATGATGTCCTCGCGGCTGTCAAAACAGCAGCCTTTTAGCGGTGTCTTCAATCTCGGGAACAAACAGAAATCACAAGGAGCCATGTCAGGAGAGTTGGGAGCCTGGCGAACCTGCAGAATGCCGTGTGTGGTCAGGAAACCCTGAATCAGGTGTGATGAATGAGCTGGGGTGTTGTCATGATGCAGCTGTCAGTTGCGTGCGTCCCACAGCTCCGGTCTCTTGTGCTGAACTGCATCACGAAGATAGCGGAGGACTTCTTGCTAGTACTCCTTATTGACAGTCTGGCCTAGTGGTGCGTACTCATGATTCACAACACCCCGGTAATCGAAAGAAACAGTATCACCTTCACATTGCTCCAAACCTGTTGTGCTCTTTTGGGCCTCGGGGATGTTGGATGCTTCAATTATGATGCCTGGATCTTGGTTTCTGGGTCATATCCGTACACCTACGATTCGTCACCAGTGATCACAGTCTTCAGGAAATCAGGATCCCTGTTGGCACACTCCAGCCTGTCCTGCGCGACCTGAAGACGGAGTTGTTGCTGCTCCGGCGAAAGCAGCTTGGGCACAAATGTTGCCGCCACTCTTCGCATGCCCAAATCCTTGGTTAAAATTGTGTTTGCGGAACCTCTGCTGATCCCAACCTCATCAGCAACTTCATGGATGGCCAAACGACAGTCCTCCATGATCAATGTCCGCACTTTTTCAAAGACATCAGCATTTCAGCTCGTTGATGGTCTCCCAGAATGCTGCTCACTGTCCGCCGACATATGGCCATATTTAAAGCGGTTGAACCACTCTTTGAGTGACCCCCATTGCATCATCGCCAAAAGCCTACTGAATTTTGTGAATTGTTTCCGCTTGGGTATCCCCAAGTTTCTGACAAAACTTAATGCAGTATCACTGCTCCAAGCGTTCTGTCCTGTTGAGCGAAACGAGAACGCGACGAACACATGTTACACCACTTCACTATCTGGCAGTCACAGACGCATCCGGTAGTGTTGCGAGTCA